GGGGCTGCCGTCTGCGTCCGAGTGCCCCCCACCTGGGCCGGCGCGTGGAGCGGAGAAACTTCGCGGCGCTTCCCGGCGCTGCAAGAAGCGCCGTCCGGCCGGGGAGGCCGGGGAGGCCGGGGAGGCCGGGGAGGCCGGGGCAGCGGGACGACGGGTGCTTCCTGCTACCTCGGGAGGGGGCGTGCGCCGGGGGAAGAAGTTGCTCCTCCGCGGCCTGAGCGCGCTGGGAAAGTCCTCCAAAGGCGGGAGGCTGAACCTGACACTCGAAAATAAGGTCACTAGCCTGGGACGCGAGGAATGTGGTCAGAGGGTTTCTCTGGAAAATAGCAGCCTTTAATGTCCTGTGCGAGAGGCTTCTCTGCCCCCCCCACTTTTTTTTTTTTTATTACCTCTAAAGATGTCTTTTGATCAGGCCAGCACAAGGCAGTGATAGTGCAGAATCTGATTGAACAGAAAAGTTATTTTTCTCTGGAGGAGGAACTGGCAGGAGCTGGTTTTCCTTGTTTTCTGTTTTATTAGAGGATCGCCATCCTTGATTTGATGTGTGATTGATCGCCTGTCATCTGGCCGCCTTTCATCTATTCATTCCTGATAAACATCAATAAATCACTCACCATGGAGACACACATGCTCCTGACAGCTCGGCCGCTATCAGGACAACTTTTCTCTCTCGCTCCCCCCTTTTCCTGCTCCATTTTAATTTTGTCTCAGAAGTTTTACAGCTGCAGCACCCCTTAACTCAGCTCACCTACTAATCCATTGCTAAAACCCCAGTGTGGGTCAGCCCCAGAGCAGTTTTCACAGGGCTGAACAGAGACCAGGAGCTCTTCCTGCTGCCTGCTCCAGTCTCCCACTCTGTGACTGTGGGACCCGGAGTGCCACCAATTTGCCAATGAGTTACCACGAAATAGCAGAGTAAATCAACTCTCCCCACGCTGGAGGGGGAAAAGAAAATTTAAAGGGTGTGTTGTGTTTAAACAACTGTGACTCTTTAACTGTTACAGTACAGAGTAGAATCTAAACAATTTTTTAATAGTACACACAGTCATGTGCAGTGTGCCAGTCTCCCTAGGTGCTTTTCCTAGGGAGGCATGTGGTTCAGGGTGATTGCTCGTCAAGATTTCAGGAATAATATCTCTATGTAGGAATGATCAAATAAAATAAGCTAATAATTTATATGAGGTCCCTGACAGAAAGGTCACCAAGGCAGAGGAAACTTTGATGCTGGGCGTTGACAACATAAAGTGAACAGAAAAGAGCGTGGTTATTTTGTAATAACTCTGACTCGTGCAGTGAGAAACCCTGAGGCGGAGGACCTACGTCACTGGCAGCCCCTAAGAACACAGCACAGTCTATATGGGTTTTTACCCCTGCTTGTGCTGTAGGTGAGGGGGGGGTCTCCTTGCATTTGTAACCACAGAGAGTTGTTGTTGGTTCCCCCCACTTTTTTTTTTAAGTTTTTTGGGACAGACTATACAATGAAAAGTTGCATTTAGAAAATTAGCCCTCTACACTTAAGAACTTTTGCGGTTAAAGTTGCAGTGACTATTTCTGAGGACAAACAAAACGCCGAGGGAATGAGGTACTGCAACTTTAAATACCACATTTTTTTTTTTTTTTTTAATAAAAGGTTTGAAAGTTGACAAGGGCATGATGGTGCATGGTAATCCATCCTGGCAGCTCTTAC